CTGCACCAAGGCAAGCTACCTGGGGCTGCTCTCCTTCCCTGAGCTAATGTTCTGTCTGTTTTACTTAGACTGGAGTCTGCTTAGGAAAGACTGTGTCGAATTCTATGTTTGAGATGCCCCTAGCACACTGTTGGCACTTAAATGTAATTATTCAAAATGAAATCAATTAATTAGATAGGAAGAAAAATAGCAAGCCCTGAGACAATAATAAAGAATAACACAAATATGCCAACCGACTGGAGCAAAGCAACAGATAACAGCACACACTCACGGGACAGCCCTCTCCAACTCCGGATGCACGGAACAGGGTAAACACAGTGACACACCTCGCTTGTGCTGGGTTCCCAGAAAGCAGAGAGCAAGACTGATGTTGATAACTCGGTAGAGTAACAAGGATTTCATGTTTCGTGCTTCGTGCGACTGAGCTCCTCGGGAAAGCCCAAGGAAGAGGAGGGAAGTAGAGGAAGATGAAAGCTGGGAGTGATGGGCTCCATGGCCCACAAGGGCTTGAACCGGGAATTAGGAATGTGTTGTGTACCCATCTGGACGGGACAGTCATTGTACACCGAGATCTACTTGGTGGGCAGCGGGAGATCAGGACAATGCCAAGCCCCTGGCCCCCTGTCCTCCAGCAGCATGAGCTCCAGGCATGGAAACACGGCAGAGCACGCCAGGGCACGGGAGACGCCAGGACACGGGAGACGCCAGGGCACGGGAGACGCCAGGACACGGGAGACGCCAGGACACGGGAGACGCCAGGGCACGGGAGACACCAGGACACGGGAGACGCCAGGGCACGGGACACGCCCTGGAAACGGCTTCAGGACCCCGCTGCTTGGGGCTATAAGACAGCCAGCGCTTCAGGGCGCACTGCAGACCAGAGAGGGTTCGCTCTGCCCCTCCCCTGGCTACATTCCAGAGCCTCATACCGAATGTGAATTCCTAACCACCTCCTACCCCACCCGCCAGCCTCCAATCACTGATGAAAAAAAGATTCTTTTTAAAAGATTTGTTCAAAAAACACAACAAAAGTCTTGTTATGGAGCCCTGTACAAGACACCATGTAGGTTCCAAGGATAAGACCTTGTATTTAAATGCTTGATATTCCAATAAAAGTTATCCGTCATTGAATTCCTCTCTCAACAAGTAAGTCTAATGCCATCACTCAGTTACAAAATTATACAAGTTTTATAATGAAGTTTGCTCATTGATTGTAAGGCCTGATAACAACAACAACAACAACAATCTTTTAAACTGGTAAAGAAAGCAAAGAAAAACCATAAACCCCAATCAATTTAAACCCTACCCCCGCCCCCCAAAAGCAACTACGTAATTGAAAACTGTTTGAGACCCAGGCAGCCAGCTTTAACGCCCGCCCAAGCCTCCCCTGGTTGCTCTCTGGGTTTGACTTTTGAGGACGTGGGGAGGATAGGAAAAGGTGACTTGGAAAGGGTCCCTTTGGTCGTATCCTCTCTCGATTCTCTGCCGCCGTGACGGACGTCCCATTTTCAGCCGCACTGGAAGCTCACGGAGAGATATCTTCCTGCATTAGAAGTTTCTTCTCGCCCTGGCCAGTTTGGCTCAGCGGCTGGAGTGTCGGCCTGCAGACCAGAGAGTCCCGGGTTCGGTTCCCGCTGGGGGCACGTACCTCGGTTGCGGTGGTTCATCCCCGGCCCTGGTTGGGGTCATGTAGGTGGCAGCCACTCGATGTGTCCCTCTCACATCAGTGTTTCTCTCTCTGTCTTCCTCCCTTTCTCCCTCTCGCTCTATTTGAACATAAATGCAAAAATGTCCTCTGGTGACGATTAAAAAAAAGAAAGAAAGAAAAGTTTCTTCTCCACATGGACTATTCACTGCTTTGGATCTGACAGTCACATGGTGCACTTGAACTACCAACTGAGGCAAATTCAGCTGTCCGTCTGCCCATTCGTGAACTTTCTTTTCACATGCTCCCGACTATTTTATAAGAATGCTCAATAAGTAAGTGTTTACTGAGTGCTGACTATATGGAACGACCAGAATTCAGTCTTTGGTTTGAACTCGTCACACTACTGGGAAGCAGAATGGTGCTGAATTCAAGGGAGGGAGGCTGGGTAGCGGACCCCTCCTGGGCCTTGGGATAAGTTACTACCCCGCCCCATTTCCTAAACAAGAAAACGGGGAGAAACAGCGGAGCTTGCCTCGGCCGCTGGAGGGCTGGAAGGAGGCAGCACCGCCGGCGGTAACAGTGAACGTTAGTCGCTGCTGTTCTGCTGTTCTGCTGCTGAGTCTGATGTAAACTGTTATGGCCGTTTGACATGAGAGTTAGAGAACACAGCGTTTTCTGGACGGACTCCCCGGCGGGGAGGCTGAGTATGGGGATTTGCTTAGTCGTTGGAACTCGCTCATCCTCTGAAGCAGTCATTTTAATTGGCAGGTGCCGGTGTCCTTAATCTCCTCCTTGGAGAGTACCTGTGACCCTTTCCTCAAATAAGAGGCAAATTGCAGCTCCAGCTACCGATGGCACCTGCTTTTACTCTGGCAGCAGAGACATTCTTCTTACAAAGCCGAGGCCCAGAAACAGAAAACAGACACGTGCTGTTTGTTCTGTGTTACCTCTCTGAGTGATGGTGAATAGCAAAGGAAACCGTGGAAACAAAGAGAGAGACAGAGGGAGACGTTCCAAGGTTCCAACGTCAAGAAAAGCACTTAAGAGATGGGTGTTTGGGGCAACTCTGTACTCACAAGTCTGTGGGCCTTTTGGTGTGCTCGACCTCCTGCCCCTTTTCCAATGTGCCAGACCTGAGCTGAGCACTGGTGGGACAGGCTACTTTCCCCACATACGGTCCCTGCCATCTTGGGGACTCAAAGCACTCAAGTCATTATAAGCATACAATTGGAAAGAAATAGAGAGTAAAGGTTAAAAAAAGACAAAAGTTGGATTATGGTTGGATTTGCAACAACCGTGAAACTTCCCACTTTTGGACATTCTATTTTGACCCATCCGAGGTGACCGCTTCCAAGCTGGGAAACACCCGCTGGGCCAGGGGTGCGGGCCCGCAGTGACCAGGCATGCACTGGGAAGTGAAACCAGATGGCCCCCCAGGCTGCCTGCGTGGCCTGCGCCTTCTGTGACAGAGTGACAACACTCTCAGGAAAGGGAGGGAAGAGACGCCTAGAAACTAACTGCCACTTTGTCATTCACAATCCCACTCAGTTCAGTCACCAGCAATCCGATCTAATCCACTTGTTGATGGCATTATGGGGACAATGAAACTGCTTTTAAAGGCTCAGTAAAAAGGACTGGTTTTTTGATGAAGAGAATGTTGCCTGTCAGAAAGCCAGTGAGACAACTGATAAAGGCATTTGCCCTGTCAGGTATAGAAGTCAAGCTCTTCTTTAATCTCAGGTCCTGAGATACTGTGGTCGGGGAGACCAAGTCAGTTGATTAAAGAATATTCATTGGATACACCCCATATACTCTGAAGTACCATAATGGTAATAAATCATGTATCTGTGACCAAGTAATGATAGAGCACATTTTACTAGGGAAAACCAGAAAAAGCCCCTTCAACACAGTATTAGTAAAATGTCATTCTGTGTGATTGCGATCATATAATCTTTAACGGTCTTCAGAAGAATTCAGCCACAAGGCTGTGGAAGGTAAGGCTGGCTGAAGCTGAGGGTGCCCAAAATTCCTCGTTCCCGATGCAGATGATCAACTGGTTCACTTATTCGGGAGTGTAGGTCAAGTTTGTAGAAAGACACTTTAATAATATACTACTTATTTACTTCTCTGTATTTCAGAACACTCAGGATTTTACTAACAAACTAGGCTATTTTAGCAAATGGTCTTATGTTGTATATATTATGTTCCTACAACCTGGGTGAAGCTGTATTTTCTAAGGTTTAATCCTGTTGGTTAAAAAAAATTTTTTTCTTTATTGATTTTTAGAGAGAGAAGAAGGCAGAGGGAGAGAGAGATAGAAACATCAATGAGAGAGAACATCCATTGGGTTTAATCCCGTTTTGATCTTCACCACACCTCCTTCTTTACCATATGAATTGCTTTTCCATATTCTTGAATCTATGGAACTCAAGAGAAGTAAACATGGTCTCCATAGAGTTTGTATCTATTATTTCCATCCAACAACTGAGATACAGACAACTGACGTACCTGAAGTTTAGAAGTACTTTACTGGATTTAAAAACTCTCGCAATGCTTCACTCAGCCTCAGTGATGAAGTCCAAGCTGGTAAATAACACATGTGTTAAGGTCAGTGGCTGGACTGCTGACCTGGATCACTAATATATAACTGGGTTCTCGGTTCTGTTTTTAGTCATGACCCTGACGGTACCAGACTCTATGCAGTGAGGAGGAATAGATCAGACTGGAGAAAGCATAGAAAAGTAGAAATCATAAGAACTGTGAGCAAGCTTTGAATAGAAACACTTTAGAAACAACTGAATGAAATCTCTGCTCTTTCTGAAAGGCTACATTCAGTGAGTTTGTAAACTGCTAGCAAAACCCCCCACATATATAGATGTCACCTACAGATGGGTGAAAAGTGATTTTCTATGATCCTATAATACTTTATGTAATTAAATTAGTGCAAGGTAAAAATAATCAACTTAAAATAATATAAAGTACTGAAAACAATTGCTACGCTAAACAGCATTCTTTTTCATAAAAGAGAGTGTGGCAAAAACAGAAGGAGTGAGCTGTGGTTAAGTGTAAACCCTTATAGCAATGAAAGTCATTTGTATTATCCCTACTTCTCTGAATAAATTCAGATGACAGCCCTATTTCATTTCTTCATTCACTTTGGAGGCCAGATGGCATTAGAATCATTTACTTCACCTTGTTGTGCTTAATTACTACAATCAACACACTATTTTCCAAATTAATCATAACAAAGTAATTTCATTAGTAACACAGCAGGCTGTTGAATTATTAGCATCATAACAGTTTGCAAACAATTAAACTTTATTTGAACCTTAAAAATTTGCAGAGTGGAACATTATTGTAAGATCTAATGGCAATAGAGTACAAATTCAGTACAGAGCAAATAATCAAGCAAAATGCTATATAAAATATGACTTACAATCACCTTTGAAAAAAATTAGCTCTCTAACTGTTCATAGAAAAACAAATAAAAGCTAAGCAAACATAATGAGAACATAGCAATTAGCAGATTTTCTAACAAGCCATGTTGTTTAGATTCACATTAATTATATTATTATGATTTTGAAGAGTGTGTGATATATTGTCAAGGGTGTAAAGAAAACTTTCTCCCTGGTAGTAGACAAATGATTTCACCAAATGAATATCAAGTTGTCATGAATTGAAAGTGATGATTATTTTCCTGTCACTCCAATTTTAAATCTTTTTTTTTCTTTCCTATCTCCTGCCTGGATTCAAGTTTAAAAAGAACAAAGGCCAGAGGAGCTCGGGACAGAAGTAACACTTTATTTCTGTATTGCCACCATTCACGGAGAGACTATCTGGCTTGAAATAGTTGGTCATCAGTTGGCAAAGGACTCCCTCTCCTGGATTAACTGTAAAAGGAGGCAGAAAGGTTCTTAAATGCTTTACATTCTGCAGGAGTTTGGGTCTGAGAGGGGGAGGGGTTCCAAGTGGCTTGGTATGCAATGAAAAGCTGCTGCCACCTACTGGCCCAGAGCTAAAACCGTCGTGTAAGCCCTAAGCAAATCCACCTTTTCAATGGAAACCCACCATTGTTTTTGCTTTTCAACCTCTTCAGCTTTGAAAACCAGTCCACTAGTTTCATCTCCTTTGTCTTACTTTTTCCAAGATACTTCTGACCTACTGGAATGGCTCTTTGTTAGGACAAGATTAACGAGTGCACAAATTAATTTCTGACAGCTTTAGCTCAACAATGTCTAATTTACAGAAACCAGAGTTTACCCACAATCCCTAAAATTAATATTTTTTAACATTTGAAATAACATGATCATGGGATTGAGGAAATAATGGTAAATATATACTCAGAAATAGTGCTTGTAAAAAGTTTTATGTAAATAATGAAGGTTTTAAGATATTATCAGCTTGTTTGCAAGGTCAGAATCTTTATCTTCATAAAGCAGAGACCTGAAAAGTTCAACAAAGGTAATATGTACTAATCAATGATTCAATATGAGGACATTATATCTACTCTAAATAATCATCCATTCAGCAGTACCTTTTGATCTCTATGAAGACAGACTAGTACCTTGTAGGTATTTACATCGCTTTGATTTCAAATACACGTGAAAAGGAACTGATATAACTTTGCGAATCTTGCTCAGGTAGCAGAATACAACTCCCAGGTCAGACTGACACCTTCCACGTGCCCGCAGCGGCGCCCGCTCTGACCCTACACTCTCCTCCGAGCGGCCCTGTCTCTTCACTGCTCTGACGTGTGTAAAGGAGACTCACACCTGGAGTTGCACTGGTTTGGGTTTGTGGTGGGACCTAAACATCACAGCCATGATCAGGCAGGATAAGAGAGTGCTGGGTTACACCTTCTGACTTTTGGAGTATGTTGAGATTCTTTCTGCCATTGTATTAGCGGAGAATGGGGTTTCTTATGAATTTTTTATTTTATTAAATTTAAACAAAGCTATGGCAGAAAATATTGGCAAGCCCGTCATCCAACCAGGATATCTGTTACTGATCCAGGACTTTGCACGAACCATGGTGCCAGTCTGCGCGTGTTGTAGAAGGTGACCACACACTGCCATCTGCAATTTGATCCCTTTTTCTTTCTCGTGGCTCTACGTAACACAAAGTAAGTTGGCCAATTGGTAAAAATTCTTTCATAAAAGCATGTTACTATTGTGTGAAAAATAAATACTAACATAAATCATCTCCAAAGTTTCAATAAAACCTTATTCTTTAACTACCATTTCCCCAAAACTTGCATGATATATTCAATTTCAATTGCTGAAGCTACATATTAGTCTTAAAAAAATAACTGACATCCAATATTGAGAGAAGTTGCAACTCATCCCCGAAGCAGCAGCGCCTATATGGAGCACAGACAATGTGCTAAATGCTTCACACAAATCAAAGGAGGAAGTAAAAACTACAATTATTTTTTTGCAGACGAGCAACAGGTCTAACTTTACAGCTTGTGTCTAATCTGCACTAATCCCCTTCCCTGAGTTGCACATCAGAGGGACGGTCCGAAGCAGAAGGACGGGCAGAGGCCGCCAGGAGCCATCGCTCACGGAGTCCCAGGCGTTGGCAAAGCGGCGGGAGAGTCTTCCTTTTCTGCAGGCAGAAAGGGAGAGTTGCATTGTCATTTTTTTCTTCAATCAAAATGTTGGTTTTTCCTGCTTAGAAAAAAATTACATTTTTTTTTAGCCAAGGGAAAAAAAATGAATGTTTACTCAACCTTTTGTCAGTTCGGTTCCTCAGAAAGGCCATAAAAAGAGGTATTTTACTAAAGCGGAGGAGGTTTGGAAAAGCAGCTGGCAATTATCAAAGGGACCTTCTCTTAATAATGTTTCCAAAGTAAATTCTATGAAGTGATTTTTTAAATTGAACCAGATATTTTTTTTAAAAGAAGATAATGATTTGGGAGCACAGTCTCTGTGTTATCAGAAAACTACCAAGACTTTAAAAAAGGCAAAGACTCATAAGGCAGAGACCAAGAGAACATATGAGCTATTATAGAATATTGGATTAAAATGTACTTACCCAGGACTCTCAAATATCATACATCTCCATTATGTAGGCTTTCGGCACCAAGCCAATGGCTCCCTTCATTTCTCCTACCCACCAGCCATATCTATTGTATTCCTAATTGAAAACAATATGCAATATTAACCTTTAGACTGGAGGAAGTACAATGTCGTTTGTGTGCAACTTCTTAGAAATGTTATTTCTTTTTATAAAGTTACAAGAGCTTGAGCTGAAAATTGAAACATTTTAATCTTTTTGTTTGTTTGTTTCTGGACACTTTAAAAATGCTGTTAGGCAAAGATTTAAATGAACGTCTAAGGCAAAGCTTGTCTGTTACTGGATGCAGAACACAGAAACAGTCTCTAGCAAGTGCAACTCTCTCTCTCTCAGCCTGGACCCTTAAGATACTATTTTTTGCCTTCAAGAAGCTTATCATCCAGCAAGGATAGATTTTTTTTTTCACAATAAACTATTTCATTCCTACTTAAACTCAAGACTGAAAATGATTTAGAATATAGAGCTATGCCCCTTCTTAAGAAAATCTAGTATATGAGTACAGATATATTAAACAGATAAATTACAGAAAATAAGGAAACACTAATAATACCCCTAAAAAATTATTTATAAAACCATTCACAAAAGGGCTCTTTTATAAAAGCTTCCTTAAGGCATTTATTGTTCTTTTTACTTATCACAGACTACAACAGATAAGGAATGGGCAGAAGGAATGTAAAGGTGGTGTTCGCTTCACCCTTACAGAAGATCAATAGAAAATAAAAGTATACCAAGTTATAAAGGCAAAATGTTCACTCAGCTGTTAAAAAGAGTGACTGACGGGTGGCTTCTGCCTCCACTTCGCAATGTGAGAGAAACCTGTCCCTCCACTTGGCCCCTCTGCCTCCACCCACGGGCATGCCACTGCTCCAGGCATCAGGGACGCTGCAGCCGGTCTCATATGCCTGCCAGATTGACTAATGTATTTTTATCTCAAACTTATTTATGTTTAGTGAGAGACAAACAAAGTAAAATGAATTATAAGTTTCAAGAAGTAATACTCTACAAAAGCACTGGAGGATCCAAATTTAATTTTTCATATAGATAAATTTTTAAAATCAATCCCCAAAGTAATTCAATAGGCTATGACTTTCCGACGTCTGAGTCACAGATAAATGTGCACAGGTGCGTGAAGTTCCATGTGGGGAGGGAATGTTAACACAGGACAGGCTTAACACTGTATTGATCAGTATGCTATTGACAACGGAAAGGAAAATCATCCAGTTCCTCAATACGAATGTAGCAACATTAATGTGTGTATTGATATGTAGCCTATCAATAGAGAAATGATTGGGTTAAATCTACACGTGCTCTTTTTAACTGGGACATATCAGAATGAGGTTTCCTGGAAGAACGGGGTGGGAGGAAAGGGGACAAAGGCTAACCCTGCACTTCTGATGCTGACGAGGGCACATCTGGCTTATGAGGCAGTGGACTCAAGATTGTAAGTTTCCAAGTTCTCGGACAGTGTGAACTTAGTGGACAAAACTCTTAAGGAACAAAACTAGTCTGGTGCCCAGGGCTCAATGATGATGACTATAATGTATGTAGGATATATTTATCAGAAGAAAAAACCAACTTACTGAAAGCTAAGATTAGCAACCATTATATCCTAATAGGTACCTAATAAAACTGCCCTTTTCAATTTTTAAGGCAATGAATACAATTAGAGCCTAATGCTTAACAAAACAAACGTATTTAACCTTTCAGAGGCCACAGGCTTTCATTGTAAAATTTCTTTCTTTTTTTTTTATCCTCACCCAAGGACATTTTTCCATTTTTTGTTCAGATAGAGTGGGAGAGAGAGAGAGGAAGAGAGAGAGAGAGAAACATCGACGCGAAAGGGACACATAAAGCGGCTGCCACCAGCACGACCAACCAAGGCCGGGGACAAACTGCAACCGAGGTACGTGCCCTTAGCGGAACCAAACCCGGGTCTCTCTGGACCACAGGCCGATGCTCTAACCGCTGAGCCAAACTGGCCAGGGCTCATTGTAAAATTTCAAACTGGATAGTTAACAGGGTAAGTGTGAAGATGTGAGTGCTCTTTCCCAATAACGATCTAAGATTTTTCCAATTGATTATCTGGAAGGAGTAATGAAACGAAGGCCTCCAAGGGGCAGACGCAGAACACATTCAGTGAGAGGCATACTATGGTCCAAAGCCACTTTCAGAGAAGAGCCCATAATCTGGGTCTCAATGTTCAGCTTCCAATTAGAAAGCAGAAAGTTCCTATTACTCTATAATATTCTGCTGCAGTGATAACCTCTCGATTAAGGATATATTATTGTTCTCAAAAAGCTGACTCACATCCACACTTAAGAAATTGATTTCAACAAATCACTTCAACAAAGGTCCAATGACATACTTCACACGGGAGAGAATTCTGCCTGACAGTAACTGGGAAGATTCATTAAGTAGCAAACACTGTAATAAACAGCAGGGAGGAGCTTATCCAGCTGTAAACAAATCCCTTAAAAGTAACGTTCTAGGAAAAAGAATTAAAGTTTTAGACTGATATCATCTTAAATGCTTCACTTAATTAATTTAAAATAATTGAAAAGCATATGAAATACATACCTCATGAAAGTACTTTAAAAAATATCACAGGTTTAAATCAGAAAAGGGTACAAATAAAAAACCACAATGTTTATTACTTTACATCCGTAAAGGATTCCGTATAATACTCCTGTGTGGAATTAAGAGGCAAGATAAAATATAGTGAGGTAAAAGTCTAGTAGGCAAATTTACGGATTTACACCGCCGCCGCTAGGGTAGTCGACACGGCAAACACAGAGGCTGTTACTTTTATCATTACCATCCTCCGGATGAGCCTCCAGAGCAACATGAATCCCAATTAAACCATTTGCAGCCTATAAATTGGAATGTAGATGCTTCTTGGAGTATAGTATTCTAAACTTCAGCCTGAAGATTCAATATCATACCAGGTTGCCTTTGAAGAAGAAAATCTGCCTTTTTTTTTGCCTTCCCCCCAACAAATGTGATTACGAATGATAGATTACTTACACTGGAAAATAATACAATCCATACAATGTTGTCTTGCGGTCCACATACTGATTATAGTATTGTTCTAAAAGTCACAGGTGGGTCATTAAAAAACAACAACTCTCAAACCTGATCTTGTTAATAAACAAAAAATAAAAAGACAAAACCATAGCAGGCTGCCATCTAAATCTTTGAAAGGTTAGGAAGCATCATGTCATCTTTATGGCACACGCGCGCTCAGGTACAAGAAGATCTGCCATCTGGTATCCCTCACCCTATTCGGCTCTTAACATCAGCTGAAATGCTAACATAGGCAAGTGACTGCACTTCAGCAGGACTGATAAAATAATGAAGAGTCCTTTAATCTACAGGAAACCATTCTAGTCAATTTATAAGAAATATTGCATCCCTTTGTAGGACGTGTAATTATTTTCTATTAATCATGCACTATAAAGCTACATTATGCGGTTATTCTGTTATCACTAGAAAGAGGCCTGCAGTCAGCTTCTGACAATGTTAGGTAATTACTAACACAAAGCTTCTTTCTCTTCCTGTAGTAATGCTATCAAGATCCAGAGGTGTAGGGATGCTTATTGTATAAAAATAGTACTCAAACGGAATTCAATATCTGCAAAATGGATGGCTTCAAGGCAAAATGTGATGTGGCAGTCGAAGGAGAAAAAAACCAAACTTGCCCAATAAGCCAAGAAAATAATCATAAAGCAACACTGAACAGTTCTAATCTAACTCCTGTTTTCAATTTCTATACCATTAAAATCGCTTTTATTAGTTTTATTTTGTAGGTAAAATTTTAGGCCTCTATTAATAGGTATTAAGTAATAAATTAAAGTGATTGAGTAATAAGGCAGGAAAAAAGGACTAGTTTTGATAAAGTGAGATGGGCTTTATCCAACACGATAGTAAACATATGTCCATGTTTACTCACTAACTAAATCTCTCTCTGTGAGGTGTATTATTTTACGCTTAAATAAGGCCCCAACACTCACTACCTCAATCCTTTCGGCACCATGATTCTTGGTTTTCAAGTATGTTAATCCACTTTCTGCCAGCCATATGGTAAAAGAATGCTGCCCTAACAGAAACCTGAAACACTAATAAGATTTTGTGATGTGCTACCCCTTTCAGAAATTAGTTACCAATCTGTTTGAAAGCAACAGGTGTTAGAAAGGTCCTTTCTTCAAACATGTATCTTTTTTTCTGACTATTTACTGTGTGATACTTTCAATTTTTCAAATTATTCATTAACATTGTAATAGTAGAAAACTAGATAACTTTTAAATACAGAAATACTTTCTTTAAGGCTACCTCTTCAATCTCTTCCTTTTTAATATCTCCAATTAGAACCTTTATAAGAAGCCTTTCATTTCTCATACATCCATCATCTCAAAGGGTCTCTTAAAATGCACAACAGGCCCTGGCTGGTTTGGCTCAGCGGTTGGAGCGTCGGCCTGCGGTCCAGAGAGTCCTGGGTTCGGTTCCGCTAAGGGCATGTGCCTCGGTTGTGGTTTGTCCCCGGCCCAGGTATGTCATGGGGGTGGCAGCTGCTCGATGTGTCCCTTTCACATCGATGTTTCTCTCTCTCTCTCTCTCTCTTCCTCTCTCTCCCTCCCACTCTATCTGAACAAAAAATGGAAAAATGTCCTCGGGTGAGGATAAAAAAATAAAAAAAAAATGCACAACAGGAACTTGACAACCTCAGTGTTTTACTATGTCTATCTACACATTAACTGCTCAACTCAGTCCCCTAACCTGTCAAATGAGGAAACTGACACCAACAGTCTCTCTGACGTCCTCCGTGATGTCTGAGCATCGCCATTCACGCACCTGCTTGAAGACAGTCTCACGGCTTATGAAAACCAACCTTATTACTTTTTAATTTCTATGCAAGTGTGACTCTGAGTTACTCTAACTCAAAGAATTACTGTTTTTTTCTCCTGTGTAAGGACAAGTAAGCAAACTGATTGTAAGAATTTCATTCTTAAAACAGATTTTAATTTATATTCCAGAGTAAAGACACTTAATTCGAACATCTACCC